AGCTGATTAAAATCGAAAATAAAATGACGACTTCTTTCAGTGTGCTTACATATTTTTAAGACAATCGAATCTTTACGTTAATCTTTAGTAAATTACTCACACGGTTTCTGATTGAGAAAATCGCAATTTAAAATCCGGAATACAACATAAATTTATCGAGTGACAGTGCAAACGATTAGACCAGTACAACACGAGCTCAAGTGAAACCTGTCGCGACATACATGTAGCTTACCGGCCCACGTTATAAATAACTAAAGCGTTATATATTTATTTCACAACATGCAAATTAACATGTTACGGATCAATCAAACTTCGGTGGACGTCCAATAATAATATTACAGGTGAAATATCAGATTGAACTTATTGTAATATAAGATCGTTAAAAAATAATATCGTATTTCAGATTCATTTGAAATACGAAGTCGTCGCAGCCACGAAGTCGTCGTGGCCTAAAGGATAAGACGTCCGGTGCATTCGTGTTGAGCGATGCACCGGTGTACGAATCCTGCAGGCGGGTACCAATTTTTCTAATGAAATACGAACTCAACAAATGTTCACGATTGAGTTCGACGGTGAAGGAATAACATCGTGTAATAAAAATCAAACCCGCAAAATTATAATTTGCGTAATCACTGGTGGTAGGACCTCTTGGGAGTCCGCGCGGGTAGGTACCACCGCCCTGCCTATTTCTGCCGTGAAGCAGTAATGCGTTTCGGTTTGATGGGTGGGGCAGCCGTTGTAACTATACTTGAGACCTTAGAACTTATATCTCAAGGTGGGTGGCGCATTTACGTCGTAGATGTCTATGGGCTCCAGTAATCACTTAACACCAGGTGGGCTGTGAGCTCGTCCACCCATCTAGCAATAAAAAAAAAAGAAATATCAGATTGAACTTATTGTAATAAGATCATTAAAAAAGAATATCGTATTTCAGATTCATTCGAAATATTTTTATAGATATTTGATACTCAAAACACTTGGTTCTTTCAAAACGCAGTTTGATTTGAAATCACGGTCTTGTCATCCGACGTAACCGAAATATCTCTGCATTGTTAGATCATTAATAAAATATATAGACATAGCGGCAGGCGAGGACGGTCACCTGATGATAAGCGGTTACCGTAACCAATTAGTACAAACGTGATTACCACGAACGAACGAATTATTTTATGTATAATTTCCGATGTTTCACAATAATTATTTTCGTTGCTTCATTTTTTATTTTTTTCTACTTATTCTAGTGGCCTCGAGGGGTTATTCTAGATTCGCCGAGCTAGTAGGTGAGCTCAGAAACGCAACCCACCGAGAAGATCCGGCGAGAAACTCAGTGGGCTTGCGACGGATTCGACGAGAACGGTGACCGGTGCTTGACGTACCTAAAAGCACCCTTAGTGGATCGGGTTTTGTTACTGCAAACAGCAACTGTAACAGCACAGTTAAATTGTATAATAAATTGCGACATTGAGTCGTGATAATAGTTTTGAACATGACTCGCGACATCATCATCATCATTCTTTCCCATTACCCTCTGCTGCGGTGTAGGGCTCGAATCAAATTTTTCCATTTACATCGGACTCGCGACAGTCGAAGTAAATACTAAATATTACGTACGTAATAAATGTTCTTAAACTTCTACGATAAATTAACTTTGGAACTGCCGTCTGTAGGGCGTACTATGAGCTCTAAGGCTGAAACTAACACCCTGCCAATTCTGACTATACTTCATCTTCACGGATTATACTTTATATCGCGTGAGCAGATCCGTACTCTACCGTTGCTAGCTACAGTCTAATTTACACGGAACATAATATTTAAATGTCGACTACTAACATTTTGTCCTTTACAACGAAAATGCAATGAAAAACGCGCGAATATTAATATACATTATTAAACCTAAGATTAAATAGTAAAAACAGTTTTAAATATACATTATTTATTGTTACCTGATACAGGATATGAATGTGCAGACATAGTAAAAAAAAAACGGTTGTCTGTAAAACATGTAAATGTATTATTGTATAGCAGCTGTCCACGCGGATGCACCGTTCACTCAAGTAGGAGAGAGACAGATGTCGAACGCTGCCGAACGCAGAGGCCGATTGTGCCTCTTTGTAGCTCGTTGCGCGCTCTCGCTTGCACTTCAAGCCTTAAATGGAACGCCTCAGAGCGAGGCAACGCCGCATGCGTCATGTTTTTTCGTGCGTGCAGCTGGCTCCATCGAATTATAAGACGTTGTCACGTCAAAAACAAGAAAGAACTCCTCAGTTGAGACTGACGGGGTAATTCTGACATTTTAAAATTAACTGAAGATACTAAACTGTGAAGGTTTAAAAAAAAATTCACTAAGTATTGCACTTGAGCCGCCATTTCAACGTAAGTAGATCAGTCTTGTATAAGAATTGTAACATTTTACGAACCGGTTCAAAGTGTCCGTTACACTGACAGATAATTCATGACTCACTCGGTCGCGACACTCCCGGAGTTACGCCACGCTGACCACGTCTTGACATTAACACATACCATAATCGCATTATGAAATGAATTCATAACAGATTTGCATGTGTAAACTGCTTATCGTGTCGTATCGTTTAGAATGTGCTTGCAACCGAGGCGTGGTTCTATTGAGTCTTATAAATGCTATTATGATATAATGGGATACGCCTGAATGATAAGATGCCTGGTGTATGTGTGCGTGTGTGTATCTCTCAAGATTTATCACGATTTACAGTTTCCCTTGGTTTGCCGCTAGGGGCGCTATTCCAACTCCATACAACTTTGAGTTAACTTTCACGCGATCGATAAGTTAAAAACTATTATATGTACATATGAATGTATTTTTTGTATTTATGTATATGTATATATGATTGTGTGTGTTAATATATATGTATATATTTTGTGTTTGTATTTGTAATTTAATATAAATTTTATTGCACCTACCATTATTTACTCTGCACTACCTTAGGTTGACTGGTAGAGAATGCCCTAAGCATTATGTCCGCAGCGAGCTTCGTGCTCGGGGCGTGGCGCGTCTCCCCGAAAGTGAGCTGCGGGCGCGGAAGGCCCATTCTCGGCGGTCCGTGCTCGAGTCGTGGTCGAGGCGATTGGCCAACCCCACGTGGGGGCTACGGACCGTCGAGGCGGTTTACCCGGTCTTTGATGACTGGATGAATCGTGGCGAAGGACGTCTCACCTTTCGTCTGGTGCAGGTGCTGACCGGGCACGGATGCTTCGGGAAGTCCCTGCGCCGGATAGGGGCTGAGCCGACGACGAGGTGTCACCATTGTGGACACGACCTGGACACGGCGGAGCATACGCTCGCTGTCTGCCCCGCTTGGGAGGTGCAGCGCCGTGTCCTTGTCGCAAAGATAGGACCTGACTTGTCGCTGCCTGGCGTCGTGGCGTCGATGCTTGGCAGCGATGAGTCATGGAAGGCTATGCTCGACTTCTGCGAGTGCACCATCTCGCAGAAGGAGGCGGCGGGGCGAGTGAGGGAAAGCTCTCCTCACTACGCAGAAACCCGCCGCCGCCGAGCAGGGGGTCGGGACCGGGGTCGTATCCGTGACCTGGCCCCCTAAGAGCTAGGGGTCCCACCCGTTTTGTGCGGGGAGAGACCCAGACGTGGGGTGGCGTGCTTTGCACGCTCACCCGCAATAGGAAGCCGGGTGATGGTAGACCGCGTTCCCCCGACCGCTCTGGGGGAAGGTGTAACGCGGCGCCATCAAAGCGGGCTCTCGGCCCGCTGAACGAGGGAACCGGTGGTCGTGTCGCTGGCGGCCACCGGTCCGGCGTCCGTGGGACGGTGGGATGGATGTAATGTGCTCTGCGTCAACCCTGTCCCGCCGTTTCAATAGCCCCGACTGGGCTCCGGCCCGGTCCGAGGTAGGGCGCCGATTGTGAGCGGCAGGAGTTTTTAGTGAGGTTCAACTCCCACATACCCCACCTGCCGCGCGGGTGGGGATCGGGCGATTTTCTCATGTGGAAAAAAAAAAAAAAAAACATTATTTCCGCCAATGTAAATTTTACATGAAGTGTAATAAATAAATAAATAAATGAAAAGCTCGCACTACAGAAAATCGCGTTCTCGAATGGATTTAACACGAAGGTATAATAGGGTAGCATGTAATGTACCTATGTAAATAAAGTAGACCTCCGAAATATATATTTATTGTTATATTATGACAATTGAATGCGCTTAAGTAACTTATAGACTCATTTCCAAAACGACCCACATTAGCAAGGACGTGGTTCCGTTCAGGAATTATGAGATAACATAAATGAATAAAATACTCTTTCAATACAAACAATCATTAAAAATAAATAAATTCAAAACCTTAATTTATCTTCGTCCAATCTTACTACAGACTTACTACGGCGACCTCATTACTGTGATGTGTATTTATTAAACACATTTAAGTTACTTTAACAATAATTTATTGCGGCTTAGCCGACAACGTGAACTTAAATGTCCAAGTAGAATGGATATATGAAAGCAATTTACTAATTATTTAACTTGTTCATTAGGGTTAGCCCAAGGGAAATAAAATTACATGAAATACAGAGTGTGTAATGTGAAATGTTTCATTTAAAAAAATATAGTATAATTAATATGTGGAATATTGTGTTGAATTGCCTAGTAAATAGTTCTATGTGTTCCAGTAACCATATATCACCAAATAAAGTATTATAGCTTATAGTTACTTCTCTTGATTGAGATAAGCGGTACAGTATATTATGAATGCTACAATCTCGTTTATTTGTATAAACTTACCTCCATCAAGAACTTGATATAAGTGTACTAATTAAAATAAAATTGGTTGTAATAGTTTAAATAATGGTTAATATATTTTAGGCAATGTCCCAATTGAGAATAACTAAATAAAATAAAAATAAATAAATAAAAACGTAGATAAAATATAGCTTAAACGAAATATTGAAAGGAGCCTTCATCCACCAATTTTCGGAAACCCTCATTCTAACGCAAGGCTTTCTTTCTTCCACAGGATCTTCGCGCCATCCTAAAATTGAAGAACGTCCAAGGTCTAGAGATCCACAATGCCCACAGATCTCTCAACCGCACTAAAGTGTTGGAAAGTGTTGAGGAAGCCCGTTCAGCCATCACTAGTTCGGGAGGCGGACCCCTATTCTTGGCCCTGCCCGCTCATCCGGAACTACTGGCCAAGTATTACGACCTGAGGAGTTTGGTGAAGAAGGTGGACTTGCTAATGGTTCAGACCCACGCTTTGGGGCTCGTGAAGAAGATGACATACCATCCCAGTCGTTTAAGCGGATTATGGGATATGATGAATACAGTGAGTATTTAAATGATATAGTCTTAGATTATTTTTCTTTACTTTTTATTGCTTAGTTTTGTGGACGAGCTCATGGCTCATCTGGTGTTAAGTGGTTACCGGAGCCTATATACATCTACAACGTAAATGCCACCACCTACCTTGAGATATGAGTTCTAAGGTCTCAGTTTAGTTACAACGGCTGCTCCACCCGTCAAACCGAAACGCATTCACGGTAGAAATAGGCAGGGTGGTGGTACCTGTTCGGACTCACAAGAGGTCCTACCACCGGTAAAAGTAGCGCCGTCAGTATGATAACTTCAAAATTTTTGAAGTGAAACTTCTTTATCGGCGTTGGAAAAAAATTTACCGTCACATTTTTCGGTTACGCGTCACATTTTTCCGTTACGCGCCATCTTTTTTGTATTCATGTCTATGATAATAAAATCCTTTTGTTTAAACTTTATCTAATTTAACTTTATTTAACCAATTTCTAGAAAGTTGCATGTAGATCATTTTTCGAAAAATAAGGCCATAAAGAAGTTTCACTTCTTACGTGTGTACACTAGTACACGCACACATTTTTTTGAAGTGAAACTTCTTTATCGGCGTTGGAAAAAAATTTACCGTCACATTTTTCGGTTACGCGTCACATTTTTCCGTTACGCGCCATCTTTTTTGTATTCATGTCTATGATAATAAAATCCTTTTGTTTAAACTTTATCTAATTTAACTTTATTTAACCAATTTCTAGAAAGTTGCATGTAGATCATTTTTCGAAAAATAAGGCCATAAAGAAGTTTCACTTCTTACGTGTGTACACTAGTACACGCACACATTTTTTTTTTATTTGTGATATTGTCTGCGTCCATTGCTTGACCGAATGGGGTTGAATTGACATGATACTTTGAACAATTCGAACTTTGGCCCGAAATACTAAAAATGATTCAATAAAATATTATTAAACAATCTAAGGTAGGGTAACTTTGATTCTCGTCAAACAGCAAAATTTTTTTAGCAATAGCTTTAAGATATTTTTAATATCAATAAAACGAGTCTTAATAAATTTCGTAAGCATGTTAATATCATAATTGATCGATTTCCCTTCGAGGTAGTAACCCAGTCGTAAAATAATGTACGGTTTATTCTGATTTTAATTGAGAGGTATTTAGTGAACCACTCGAACCAGTTCTATTAAATATTGACAAATATCTTATGTTACGCTTGAGCATTTTTTTTTATTGGCCTTGTATGCTACTGAGCTTCGATCAACGACTACTGAGACTATACTGAGACCTTAGAACTTATATCGCAAGGCGGGTGGCGCATTTACGCTGTAGATGTCTATGGGCTCCAGTAACCATTTAACACCAGGTGGGCTGTGAGCTCAACGCACATCAAAACTAATAATAAAAAATTAAAAAGAAAAATGCGACCGAGCATACGGCCCACCTGATGGTGTATGGTTACCGTCGCTCATGGACGTTTGAAGAAGGACATGTTAACAATTTTAACAATAGGTCGTGTCCGCATGCACGTCTTCTTTGTCACTTCTGTCACAAATCAAAAACGCTTTTTTTGGGTTGAGGTGTTATCGCCTTTTTTTTTTTTTCGGGCCGGGGCCCGAACCTCCTTCGAAGTCCCCGCGCCTAGGGGGCGCGCGGGGTATGTGAGACTCAACGATCTGCAGGTGTTGAGAGCAGATCGCGGGCCCAACTATTTTAGGGCCCACCCACAAAACGACTCCCCTGCACTCTTACACCCGACGTGACAGAACCGTCGGGATAATGGAGTGGTGTAGTTCAATAATCTCTGCTCTTACTATCCTTTCCTCCTCTCTCTCCTTCGGTACCTACTTAATGTGTTTGGGCTTCAGTAACTAGTAACGTCGCCCCTAGCGGCAAACGCAGGCAAACTGTTCCAACTCCATACAAATTTGAGTTAACTTTTACGCGATGGATAAGTTAAAAAACTCGCACTAAGCATAGTGAGGTGGTTGTACCTATGGGGCAGGGTGTCGGCGCAGCGGTGTTAGGAGGCGCTGGCGCATTGTGTAAATGCAATCAAATAATTATTAGGATCAAACGCACAAAGGGATTATTAACAGAATCATCCAAATTCAATGTATTTGCTTAAAACTATAAATAAGGGCGAAAAAATCACGCGCGCTTATTTGGCGTCAATTTCTTCTGTGTTATAGGAACCAGAGACTGACAATACTTAATACTTATATACGTTTATATATAAACATACTATATAGAAAACAAACATCCAGACAAAAAACAAACTAATCTGTTCATCACACAATGGTTGTCGGATGTGGGTATCGAACCCAACAAGATTCGGGAGTTGAAACAGGCAGGAGCTTTTTTCCTACCTAAGCTTGTCGGCGTAACGCTAACGTGTAGGTGAGCTCTCAGGGCTCAAACCGGGGAGGCGTTGCTAACACTGCCCCTAGCAGAAGCAGTGCTTCGCAGAATCTACCACCGGATCGGAAACGCGACCCACTGAGAAGATCCGGCGAGAAGCTCAGTGGGCTGTCTCTATGGGTTAGTTTACTCGCCGAGCCCTTCGTCGCAAGTGACGGGTCCGACGAGAACGATGACCGGTGCTTGAGGTATCTAAAGAACCATTAAGGTAGGAGCGCGAACTTCTGCACCACCAAGTCAATCAACTATAATATTCTGCGATATAAAATTGTATTGTAAAAACGATTTATTTTTAGATTCAACTGTATCAATTTACATTAGGTGTCGAGTTTTCGTTTCGGTGTCCGATCACTAAGGTGTGAAACTATAAATGGTCGAGCTGCAACCATTGAACTGTTACAATATTGATAGAAAATATTGTTTTCCTTCCTATCCAAGCTGAAGGCCGTGAGAGGCTATGTCAGCGCATCCCTAACGTATAGGTGAGCTCTCGGAGCTCAAACCCGGAAGCGTTGCTAACACTGGCCTTAGCAAGGGCACCTAAAAGCAACGTCAGTGGACCTGAACTATAGACAGATAAAGGATAGATCATCACTTGAGGTGGCAGGGTGTATTGTATCAATTGTATGCCCGTACGCGAAGCTTTGAGGAACCTTGCCTGTTTCTTCCGGCTCCAAGCTCGAAGGGTGAACGAATCACGGGCTTACGAACCGACCTCGGAGGACCATGAACGAGTAATTGTCCATTATAGGTCCAAGCGCGTTATATTAACTGAAGCCTCACCGGTTTTAAAGCAAAATAGAATGTATTCAAAATATAATTTTCCTTCTATGGTATATGTTTTGGGAACGGATATCGATAGAGTAATTTAATTTTACAACTAACGCCATCTATTGTCTACGTTCAAATAAATTCACTAAAGGGTGAGTGAACAGCTAAACACTAGCAAAATTTAACTTACTCAAAAGTATCTGTCATTAAGTTATACTTATAGAACCGTGGTAATATTTTGAAATGAATACAAAGTAACTTCATTCATAATAATAATAATAATAATCCAGATAGATATTTCTATTTACGAGAATCAAAAAAGATACTTTTTACTATCGAAATACTAGGCATTCACCTTGGCTTCAAAGACATACCAGTCAGTGCCTGCAGTTAAAACCCAACAACCTTCATTTGAGATCAAAACTATAGCTCGCGGCAAAAAGCCAAGGCATTCAACAATGTATTATAAGATATATTTTTATTGTGACATGTTAATTTAGTCCTAAAATTAGATCTAGAAGTACTGTAGTTCGAGAATTATATGTAGCGTAATTTTTATTTAATAAAAACATCTCAATAAAACACGTAACGTATTAAGCTGTTATCTTCGAATTAAGTATCGCATAACAATAATTGCGTATGGCCGCGTAGTAAAACGATTAAAATTGTGAACCATCATGGATGTTTCAATAATTAATAATATTTTTTTAATGTAAATTAATTTTAATTAATAATAATAAAAATTTCGTCGTCGTGGCCGTGGTTACGACGTCCAGTGCATTCGTGTTGAACGATGCACCGGTGTTCGAATCTGAGGCGGGTACCAATTACACATTTCTAATGAAATAGGTACTCAACAAATGTTCACAATGTGTAATAAAAATAAAAACCCACAAAATTATAATTTACGTAATTACTGGTGGTAGGACCTCTTGTGAGTCCGCTCGGGTAGGTACTACCACCCTGTCTATTTCTGGCGTAAAGCAGTAATGCGTTTCGGTTTGAAGGTTGGAGCAGACGTTATAACTATACTTGAGACCTTAGAACTTATATCTCAAGGTGGGTGGCGCTTTTACGATGTAGATGTCTATGGGCTCCAGTAACCACTTAACACTAGCTGGGCTGTGAGCTCGTCCATCTATCTAAGCTTAAAATAAAAAAAATATTATTGAGAACAAATCAACAACGATCAGTCGGCCCCAATTTAGGATTCCCTGTGTTATAGGTACCAGAGGCTGACAAACATACTTATATATGTTTAAATATATACATATAACAAACACAATGACAAAGAGCAAATATACCTGTACATCACACAACGTTTGCTCTATCTGGGAATCGAACCCATGACCCTCGGCGCGACAGTCACGGTCGCTAACCACTGCACCACGGAGTCAGTCAAATTATTAATATTATTACTTATGCTTTCAATTAGTATGTACTAATGATATAGATTAGTAGTTATATTTATAAACGGGCGAACCTCATGTGAAGGTAATCAAGTGTTTTAGAGAGCACGATCCAATTGCGGCTACGAAGGTCTACGCACCTTACATTAACGTCGATTTGAGGAGCTTCTGACAGCAAATGTAATTTTGCAGTTGATTAGTCGCCTACAGCATGTAGGTCAGGTGGACATGTGGATCGCTCAATTTGAAATTTTCATTGCTTTTTAAAAAAAATCTTTCTTAAGAAACATATTATATCGACGCTTGAAAGGCAAACGTGACTAAGCGACAATAACTGCTTTGTACATAAATGTTGGCAATAACCATAATCGACGCGCAAAAAAAAAATATTTCTAGGTCTATTAAAATCATTCCAATCTTACAGCTAGATTCGAAAATATAATTTTGTTTTCAGGTATTTCAACTTTAAATTAGTCTACTGTAAAGTTCACGCATTGTCGCTTAGTCACGTTTGCCTTTCAAGCGTCGATAGGGATTTCGTTGGAATTTTTTTGTTCATTTTCTCTATTTGACGGGATTTAAATTTGCTCGTTTATTAAATTCGGGTTTTTTTTATTTTTAAACCAAATAGCTACAAGGCCGTAGGTTAGGCCGTAGGTTAGGTTATAGAAAGTCATGATAAATCGGAATTAATATGGACCATTATAACTATTATTAGTATTTGTTAATCGAACATTTTACATTCAATATTCCAAGGATAACAGGAGCTAGTTTTTTTTTTTCAAAAGTAAAAGCTTTGCCCTTAAAAAGATAATTACGCCTATTCACTATCAGATAAAAAAGGTTAGAATTTTAATATAGTTTTTTCAGAAGCATGATTTGCTGACTATTTTCTTTTTTCCTATTTTGAATAGGATTCAGTGGTAGACCTCGTTGTTGGGCTTGGAGTACCGGCCTCCAAGATCGTGATCAGTCTTCCAGCGACCGTGCGTCAGTTTACCCTCGTAAATGAGACTCTCAGCACTCCGGGCAGTCCCGCTGAGGAAGATGAACCAAAGGAAGTAGACCAGGCTGAGCTCTGCAGGCAGCTTCAGAAGGGACGCTGGACTTTGGAAAGAGATCAAGATTTGTCGGCGCCTTATGCTTTCAAGTTAGTTTTATTTTGTAATATGTAATTGCTAATTTAATCCTAAGGCGTTTTTATTATTTTTTAATTGTAATCGTGTCCTAAAGGATCAGACGACCGGATAATATCGAGCCATGTGACTGGGCCGATGTTCGAGTTCCGCAGGCAGATACAATTTTTCTTATGAAATTTGTACTTTCTTTTTCTTTTTTTTATTGCTTAGATGGGTGGAAGAGCTCACAGCCCACCTGGTGTTAAGTGGTTACTGGAGCCCATAGACATCTACAACGTAAATGCGCCACCCACCTTGAGATATAAATTCTAAGGTCTCAGTATAGTTACAACGGCTGCACCAACCTTCAAACCGAAACGCATTACTGCTTCACGGCAGAAATAGGCAGGGCGGTGGTACCTACCCGTGCAGACTCACAAGAGGTCCTGCCACCAGTAATTACGCAAATTATAATTTTGCGGGTTTGATTTTTATTACACGATGTTATTCCTTCACCGTGGAAGTCAATCGTGAACATTTGTTAAGTACGTATTTCATTAGAAAAATTGGTACCAGCCTGCGGGATTCGAACACCGGTGCATCGCTTCAACACGAACGCACCGGACGTCTTATCTTTTAGGCCACGACGACTTCAAACTTACTTACACGACTACTTAACACATGTTCACGGAAGATTTCCACGATGAAGGTATAACAACGTTCACTAAGTACAAATGTATATTATGTACGCAATACGTATTATATTAACATAAATTCTTCATAGTTATACTGTAAAAATTAAAACCTCGCTCCGGAACTTTCAATTTAGTTTTGTGATCACACTTAGCACCATGAATAGCTTATATGTATCAATATTCACTTAACAATCTTACAAACATAATATGTTATTCATCAGTAATACAGGCCCTTGAACCTAATACAGATTTCAGCTCTTTCAAAGGCAAGCAATAATAATAGGTTAATCTCTATTTGAGAGAGAGATTTAATCTTAAGAGAGAACTAAATAAATTATAATTATTAGTCGTTTTTATCTTACATGTACTTTATATATTATTTACAGAAACAAAATCTGGATGTCGTTTGAAGACGCATCGTCGGTCGACGTTAAAGGGAAGTACGCCCGCGTCCGAGGACTCGCGGGACTGGCCCTACACCGCGCTGATCGAGATCCTGAGACGCCTTGCGGGCCAACACTGAAGGCTTCCTTGTCCAAAGTGTTGAATCAGCAAAGCCGAGCGCCACGTGCCGTCGTGTTGAGGTAAGAGTTTACAATCACGATTATTTTTATTGCTTAGTTGGGTGGACGAGCTCACAGCCCACCTGGTGTTCAGTGTTTTATTTTTTATTTTTTATTGCTTAGATGGGTGGAGGAGATCACAGCCCACCTGGTGTTAAGTGGTTACTGGAGCCCATAGACATCCACAACGTAAATGCGCCACCCACCTTGAGATACAAGTTCTAAGGTCTCAAGTATAGTTACAACGGCTGCCCCACCCTTCAAACCGAAACGCATTACTGCTTCACGGCAGAAATAGGCAGGGTGGTGGTACCAACCGCGAGGACTCACAAGAGGTCCTACCACCAGTAATTACGCAAATTATAATTTTGCGGGTTTGATTTTTATTACACGATGTTATTCCTTCACCGTGGAAGTCAATCGTGAACATTTGTTGAGTACGTATTTCATTAGAAAAATTGGTACCCGCCTGCGGGATTCGAACACCGGTGCATCGCTTCAACACGAATGCACCGGACGTCTTATCCGTTAGGCCACGACGACTACTAAACTTACTGGAGCCCATAGAAATCTACAACGTAAATGCGCCATCCACATTGAGATATAAGTTCTAAGGTCTCAAGTATAGTTACAGCGGCCGCCCACCCTTCAAACCGAAACCGATATAAGTTCTAAGGTCTCAGTATAGTTAAATATGTCGTTTACATCAAATAGCCTTTCTTTCACTCCTCGATATATATATCCCCGGTGGTAGGACCACTTTTTTTTTTTTTTTTTTATTGCCCTTGTAGACAGATGAGCATACGGCCCACCTGATGGTGAGTGGTTACCGTCGCCCATGGACTTCAGCAATGCCAGGGGCAGAGCCAAGCCGCTGCCTACTCTTGAGAGTTCGCGCGGGTTGGTACCACCGCCCTGCCTATTTCTGCCGTGAAGCAGTAATGCGTTTCGGTCTGAAGGGTGGGGCAGCCGTTGTAACTATATTGAGATCTTAGCACTTATATCTCAAGGTGGGTGGCGCATTTATGTTGTAGATGTCTATGGTCTCCAGTAACCACTTAACACCAGGTGGGCTGTAAGCTCGTCGACCCATCTAAGCATAAAAAAAAAGATAGACTATGATGATGGTTGGGCCGTATACCTACAAACATTAAGTAAGATTTAAAAAATACCGTTCTCGTATATGTTTCACGTATAGATCCCTGGAGAACGAGATACTGTCGGCTCCCGGTCACCGCGCCATCGACGCCCTACAAGTTTCGCCCTATCGCATCACGCAGGTGGTGGACTCCGATGGAGTGATTCACTCCATTCGTGAGGTGAGATTTTTTTTTCATTTTTCTTCACGATCTCACGGGGCTCAAGCCGGAAGTGCTGCCTAACGCTGACCCTAACAAGGGCAGTGCTTCGCAGAATCTACCACCGGATCGGAAACGCGACCCACTGAGAAGATCCGGCGAGAAACTCAGCGGGTGATTCGTGTTTGTTTAAATTAAGCCTGTAATAGTCTTCAATGCAACATGAATATTGTGTATTGAACCGCTTTCGGTAGCGGCAACTGAAAGTAGAGCTGCCGATTCCTGGCCATATGGTATTGGAACTCAGTTGGCTGTGAGGTGAGATCTGACAACATTGTTTCCTACTAAAAACTTAAATTAATAACGGGTAGATCGTAGCTGTGCCTACAAGATTGCCTCTAATAGTACTTAGTCTGCGAAAAGAATGAAAACAAATATTATGCATTTCGTTCGTTGGATAAACAGTAAAATGACTAATTAAATAATCAATTTAAATCTACACAATACAATCACTACGGTATATATTTTGCAAATGCCATTTTGGATTATCTATTTCATAATTTTCTATTTTTAAATTTTAATTTACGCATCAAAACAAAAACAAACATAGATAGTCACTTAAATTTTTTTTTAACGATTTCTTGACCTGGTTACTAAGAACTTTAGGTCAAGTCTTATTTTAATTTTAATGAAAACTTTTTTATATGAAAAATTAAACTATGAAATGAAATGAAAACGAAATGAAATGAGATGATATGGGATCAAAGATAATCTCAGGAAAATGGTGGTCATTTACTGAGACTTTTTCAGTGGACTTTTTGGAGTATCCCGAGAAGTTACGTTCAGCGACTTTGTTTCATTTTCCCACATTTGTGCACTTTCACAGTTCAAACAGTTAATAAGCCACCGCTATTACACATTTAAACCTGAAGAAATACTAAGTAGACAAAATAAAACAAATCACACAACTTCACTCCTCGCGTTCCCGCCAAAATGTCAAACACTTAAAAAAGAAACTAATTTCAGGACACCCGCACTGAGTTCTCATGTTCCCGCCAAGGATACTTCGTGCATCCTCGTTCTTGCGCTCGCTTCTACAGATGTGTCAAGTTTGATCAGCTATCACCGGAATATACAGTGAGTGAATATAAATTACAACATAATTTATTATATTTATATTTATAACTAGCTGACCCGGCAGACTTCGTAGTGCCTCAATCGATAAATAAAAGACCTAAACTTTTGTATAAAATAAACTTAAACAAACAAAAGCAATCCGTCCGACGGGGAACACGTCAAAGGAAAAACAAAATTGTTATTTTTATTTAATTCCAAGTATTTTCATATTTATCTACCTTTTAAACCTTCTCTGGACTTCCACAAATAATTCAAGACCAAAATTAGCCAAATCGGTCGAGCCGTTCTCGAGTTTTAGCGAGACTAACGAACAGCAATTCATTTTTATATATATAGATAGAAGATTATTCGATTATTATTGAAAAATAATTTAATGCTATTGCATCTATGTATTTATTTGTAAAATGATAGCATTATAATTATTTCGATTAATGTTCATTCTTTACTCATCAGCCCTCTTTATGGCGGAAATTTGTAGTACCTTATTTGAATATAATATATCTTAAAGTTAAGCAACCTGTTTGTTAACCAAATAACATAAATAGTACATAATTTAGCCTCTTTACTCGTTCGTTCGTGTATTGTTCGACGTTTGTGCGAGCGAGACAGCCTACGACAAAAAATTTCATTCATATCATTCATTTGATCATTGAAAATGTCCAGGTTTTCGAGTTTGACTGTCCAGCTGGTCTCGCCTTCGACTCCAGATACGAAGTGTGCGTGTGGCCGGGAAGCTTACCGCACTCCCAGGCCTGTCCCGGGTCCTCGGAGATCGCACCTGTACCTCAGACAAGATTTGTTTGCCCCGAACATGAAGGTACGTACTTCTTTAAATTTGAGGCGTATGTATCGCGTTGAGGCATGGCCAGAGTTGAGATAGCCACCCGTAGCGTCTCACATTGTAAGCGGTTACTCTGGTATCTCTGTGTTTATTAAGAAAAGGTACCTATCCCCGCATTAGTCCACATGAGTCTGATCCATCAAGTCACCGGGATAGTAGTTAAAGTCACGAATTGCTAACGTCATTTTAGAACAACGTAGCTTTCTTACTGGTGGTAAGAGGTCGTCTGGTCACCGTTCTCGTCGAACCCGTCGCTGGCGACGAAGGGCTCGACGAGTGAATTAACTCATAAACACAGCCCACTGAGCTTCTCACCGGATTTTCTCATTGGGCCGCGTTTCCGATCCGGTGGTAGATTTTGGGAAGCACTGCTCTTGCTAGGGCTAGTGTTAGCAACACTTCCGGTTTGGGCCCCGTGAGCTCACCTACACGTCAAGGAGAAGCTGAAATAGCCTCTCAAGGCTATCAGTATAGGTAGAGAGACACAAGACGTCTTGTGAGTCCGCACAGGTACGTACCACCACCCTGCGTATGCCGTGAAGCAGTAATGCGTTGGGCAGCCGTTGTAACTATACTGAGACGTTAGAACTTATATCTCAAGGTGGGTGACGGTATTTACATTGTAGATGTCTGGTCTGTCTGATGGCTTCCGGTAACCACAACCGGTGTCTTTGTTTCGTTCAAGTTATTTCGCCCAAGCTTACTTACGGTTTTCCTTTAGGCTATTACGCTGATCCTGAGAACTGTCGTTGGTTCTTCGCGTGTCTGGATCACGGGAAAGCTCCGTTGACCGCGTACGAGTTCCGTTGTCCGTTCGGTCTCGGGTTCGACGCCGAAAAACAGAAGTGTGACTGGCCGTGGTTGGTGCCGGCCTGCGGTAACATCGCTAGATACGAAGCGGAAGCATACGGTTTTTCTGCGGCTATTCTCACAGGTAATTAATGTTTCAATTTATTTATTTTATTTATGTAATATATTTTGTACACACAGCCGTTAGAAGAAACACGACAATAAGGATACAGAGTACATGGGCACTACCTTATTTCATGTTGAAATCTCTTCCAGTAGGCCCGCAGAAGGAAAGAAGAATTAGGAACACAAACCTGCTGCATACAGTAAACATTACTAATAATATATACATACCTATTACAAGATACGAAACAATATATATACACATACACATACACACACACATATATACAAACACATACATATACTTACTTTATATTATAATACATTATACAAATATATACACTTTTATTTAATATGGTAAGGATAAACGTCTAGATAACGTCTAGGATAGAACGGCCGTCTGATGTAGTGGTAAATGACATGGTCACAAGTGTCACAACTAAGTGACAAGGGGGTCGCGTGTTCGAATCCCGTCAAGGGAAGATATTTGTATGATAAATATAAAATGTCTTTTCCAGGGTTATGGATGTATATTAAATTTAAGTATGTGTATAATAAAAATTTTACATTTATTTCCGTTATCTGGTACCTGTAATATAAGTTCTTTACGAACTTAGCACGGGACCAGTTAACGTGGCGTGATTGTTAGTAAAATATTTATTTGTTTATTTATTATTTAAATACTCATGGTAAAGAAATGTTTGTTTACTTTATTTCAGTTATTATTTCTTACATGGTAATACTAATACGTAATAAGTTTAAGTCAAGGCTATTTAATATGAATTTCAGGAGCTGCGGGCTTCCAAGGGCAAACAGCGGACGCCGTTAACATCGCTGCTCATCAGAGCCTCATCTCTGGAGCGTCTCTTAACAATCTAGTTGGCATCCAAGATGGCTTCCTCACCAAGGCTGACGCTTTGGACTCTAACTTCATCGCTTCTCAGGAATATGCTGCCGGAAAAGCCGCTTCAGACTCTTCATACCAAACGGGAGATAGCGCAACTCAAAATAAGAATGGATTGTTATATGCAACCGGTGATGCGTCCATAGGTAACTCGGTGAATGTAGGTCTAGTCAACCCGTCTACATACACCGATGAAGGCAAATATACTAGCGGCTCCCTCATATTGGACGATTACAGACTTCCAACTAAAGCCAAATCTGTGAATCGTGTCCAAAGTTTTGGTGCCAAATACCAAAAAGGCGCGACAGCATTTAATGCGGCACAAACAGGATTTACTAACCAGGAAGGTTATTCAACTTCATTTACTGCTGGAAAAAGTAGTACATACCAGGGCGGTGCTTATGAATCGGGTGCTTATGTTCATGACCCTTCTGGAGACTACGCTGAGCCTTACAGGCACGTAGGTTCACCCGTCGCTCCTTACGTTCATGATGACTCTGCACACCTCGATGTAGGACAGTACTCAACCTCCAGTGTGGATGGTAAAAACAGTCAAAGTGGTTACAAAGGAACTTATGAAGAAACTATCAACACTAGGACTTCTAATGAAGCCGATTTAAGTGGGCAATACGTGCATGATAATTCTGGAGATTATGTTCAATCCAGCAGCAAATATAATTCAGGAGGGTCTGCGAATGCCGGATATGAGGCCGGTTTTTACGGCACTGGAACTGGCTATAATGTGGACTACTCGAAAATTGGCGGAAAATACAAAGTAGACCATTCAGGTTCATATAATGCTGACTATTCTGGATTGTACGATAATGAGAATTCCGGTAAATATGTTGCGGGGATTTACAGAGCCGATGGTCAAGTTGGAGATAGTCCAGGAGCCAAGGCTAGTTCTGTTTACCATGGAAGCTACAGTCAGGCTAATGCTGGAAATTACTTGAGTGACTCCAGAGCCAGGACTGGGGCGTCCCACACTTTAACCGCAGGGGCTGTGAACGTCGGGCTAGTTGGCAAGACAACATTAGTTGATGCTATTTACAACGATCAGAGTAACTATCAAGGAATTAACGCCCAAAATTCATTTGCTCATCAAACCTTACACCCCAATCATATTTTACAAGTATCCCAACCTGCTGTTTCAATTAATCACGTAGGTACTGATGGCAATAATTTGGATGGATACAGCTTTGTGACAAACCCGACTTCTTCGGGAGTTCCAACAACGACCACGCCAATTGAGGTGACTACGTCTTTACCGATTGTGTCTACATACAAAACGACATTCATAGCCGAACCACCTAGAACCAGTATTAAGCAGATATTTGGTTATTCTCAACCGGCTGTTACATACGTCCAGCCCACAGTTATTCCTTTGAAACAAGTTGCTTTTGGCTTCCAAATCAATGAGCATAATCAAGGATTTACCTATCAGAACGTTAACGCTCAACAAGCATCCGGAACTAGGAACAGCGGTTCCATTAAATCATCTTCAGGTTACGATTACTCGAAGCCAAGTATCAAATTCGAAGACGGCTTAAGTTTTACAACTGCGTCGCCTGAAGTCGTTTCGGTATCTCAATCTGAGCGATTTGGAAATAGTCAGCAAACAGTTCATAATATAGAATCTGTTGGATTCGAGTATTCTACGGCACGACCAGTAAACGAAGAACCATTTAAAAAGTTGATAGCGTACACAACAGGCGCTCCTGTCGCTGCATTCCCTTCCACAACTTTTAGGCCTCAATCGTTCAGCCATAAAACTCTTCATAAAGTTGAAACCGACAAGTTCGTTCCTTCGGTAGAAACCAACATAAGGTATCAACAACCACAAATAGTACAATACTCTACAGTGCAACCGACGATAGCAGTGCAGCCTGTGGTCTCAACTTATCAGCCTCAAGTGTACAGTCACCAAACATTACACAAAGTAGATACAGATCACCTTAATGTTTATTCACAGAAATCTTCCTCTAATACTTACTCTGATAACACCAATACTTTTAATTATGAGCAACCTTCTGTTCATTTTGGAGATGTACAATATTCTACGCCAGCACCTGTTGTTTCCACATATAGACCACAAAGTCATAGCCAACAAATAATTCATAGAGTGGAGGGCTACTCTGTACCAGTTTCGTCCACTCCACAGCCCGTAGCACAAATTACATACAAAGCTCCCGTGACCGTGTTTGAAAACCCTATTCTCAAATATACCAATAAACCTAGTACATCATTCAGTCATCAAACTATCCATAAACTGGAAAGCAATCAAGCGTACACCCCATCAATCAACACTGGGTCAGTTGATTACGAAACCGTTGTTTATGACGCCCCAAAAATCGTTTACACAACACCGCAGCCAACGGTGGCGGTGGCTCCAGTGGTATCTACATACCAGCCACAAGTTTCAAGTCAACAAACTCTGCACCAAGTCGATCATAGTCAGATACACACATACTCGGAAAACTCAGAATCAGGTTACAATTATGATAAACCAGCCATTGCATTCGAAGATGCCAAACCAATTGTTACGTATTCTACCCCAGCACCAGCTGTGTCCACTTATAGGCCGCAAACATACAGACATCAGTTAATTCAGAAAGTCGAACCACAAGAAATTGTAGAAGTCTCTTCAACGCCAGCCCCAACGATAAAGTATACCATCAAACAATCAGATGTGACGACCTATGAGAATCCGTTCCTGAAATATACACCAAAAGCCACCCCTGTTACTTTTGTAAGGCCCACTCCAACTGTTTTTGCGCAAACTTATACACCGATCGTCGAACAACATCAAGTGAACCATGTTCTTAGTCAGCCAGTACAATATGAAACGCAAAATTCTTTTGTTCAACAAAACTCACGAATTAACTCGGAAGATTTCTCATCCGGTCAACCTGAAATCCAACGCAACATCGAAACGTCTAACAAAGCGCAATTATATTCCGATGCCAGCTTAGTATCACAACAGTCGTTCCATTTGTCGAACACAAATAACGAATACCAATCTGATAAGGATGTAGTTTTCGTTTCAACCACGCCCTCAACTTTAGTATATGAAAATCATTATGCTGCTTACGACACACCAAAGAAAGTCGAAACTTATAGACCCCGTGAATACATTCCTCCAAATACTGAATACCAGCAGCATTCTATCTCAACAATTTTAAATCCGATTACAAAACAAAACACAGTTTACCAAGAGGCACGAGACGAATACGACTATAAACCCGCGGAGTACGCTGAACAATATGATATCCAGAAAACTGTCTCATCAATTGCTCAAGCACAGAAAAATGTTGAATCCATACATTTCTCGGCGTTCCCTGGTACTAAAGTCACGACTAATTACAAGCAAGCAACTTATGACAGCCCCGAAATTCAAGTAGAATACAAAGCTGAAGAGTACTTGCCTCCAGTAGTATCGACCGTCGCTCCGGTGATAACAACAACTTATAAGCCTCGTACGTACTCCACTATATCGACAACTAGAGATTATTTGACACCTATTGTAGATAATTCATACCTTCCACCGTCCAGCACTGAGAGAAGTTATGTGAAATCGACTACTCCAGAATACAATTACGCTCAATCCACAACAACCTACAATGCAGCGGAATACTTGCCCCCTATTGAAACAAAACAGGCAGAAATTGTTAATTTCGAAAGCTACGGATTCAACAAAGTCGATGCTACAGGAACAAACTACAATACATATCAGGATTATTCCGTACCTAAAGGACCTGCAGTAAAAACACAAAACGCATCGCCAATACAAAGAAAACAGAACATTGTTGTAGAAACAGCTAAATCTAATTTGCTTGGTTTCGGAACTGTAGGACCCGATGCCGGATTAATTTCTCAAGTAACTTACACAACCGCAGCACCTATTGCAGTTTCCTCTACTGTGAGACCGATTGTGAGAACTCAGAGACCTTACAAACGCATTCAGTCAACAACTGAATATCAGGCACCAGAATATCTGCCCCCTTCGGAAGTTGAAAGCTCTGAGTTGAACTTCAAAAATTTTGAATACAACGGCGCTGAATCTGCTTCAGAAACGATCAATAACAACCAGTATAATGAGGATTCATTAGTAATTTCAACAGCGACGCCCAAGAGAAAACAAAACATTGTTGTCGAAACGGCAAAATCTCACTTGCTAGGATTTGGTACTGTTGGTCCTGATGCTGGGCTTGTTTCACCAGTCGCATACACTACAGCGGCTCCAACAATTGTATCTAGTAGTGATGCTTACACAGTGACGCCCAAAGCGGTTACAACGGCGTATGCTCCCATCGAACAAGGCTTATTTGAAGTTACTCCGTCCCCTGTGCCAGTTCGTCGAACTAAGCCGAAGGTGGCTGTTGTTACCAAAATCAACGACTTCAACCCCCTTTTGGTTCGCAAGCTTGGAGCTGTATGCAGTTGTCAATCGCCCGTTTTAATTCTGAAAGGCAAGAGGCCGAATTCCGTAGAACAAAACTACGATAATTACGACAATTCTCATCGTGGTGATATCGGTGATAGTCAATGGCAAAAATCCTCTAGGATACAAGCTTCAATAGCAACTGCAACCCCGATCGTTACGTCTACTTTTAATCCCATTATCGTGCCAGACGATTCGTTCTATCAAGATTATCAAGGGTATGAGAATCAGGAAGTGAACGTGACGCCTAAGCAAGAAGTTTATACAGAGAGATTCGTATCGAGCACTCCGATTGCTTCAACGACAGAGAAATATAGAACAAGGTCCAGAGTGAAAGCTGTGACTGTCGCTCCGACATACAAAACTGTGTTATTAAACCAAGAAGTAGCACCGTCAGCTTCGTATACAGAATCAGAAGCTGCTTCTGGAATCGATTCTCAAGCTTTCGATCGTTACGGCCCTGGTGGTTGGCGAAGCCGAGACGAAACGTTACAAGGATCCGTCGATTGTCAAAGAGCTGGACTTTTCCGTCATCCTAAGCAATGTAACAAATTCTACGCTTGCAGATGGGACTGCACTAAGCAACGGTTCACTCTACACGTTTTCAATTGCCCGATCCAGCTCAGTTTTGACCCAAGTATTGGAGCTTGTAACTGGCCCAGCCAAGGCCCGGCATGTCAAGGCGATACGCTTCTAACAAACGCTTTGTGAACCTAAAACCGTCGTGTATGACTCGTTGTGCCATCGTGATGTGATAATGTGATCACATATTGAATTTCTCAAGAACATGTTCTCTCTCTTTCGTTTTTAAGATGCTTATTTTATTTATTTGACTTTGTTAATGTTGTTTCATTTTTATTTATTACATTTTCATATATTTTTCAGCTATCGCCTTGCCATATTTATTGTATTCATTGGTTTTGAATTAGTTACTATTTAAAATTATCTAGTTAATATCGTAATTTCATTACGTTGTATATTATGAAGTCATATTTTTTTACCTTAAAAATTAATATAGAAATAATAATATGCTGTAATTGTAAATATATGAATTTATTAAATTGATTGTTTTATTCGACAACATTATTAATTAATAGGATTTTAACATACATTAAGTCAAATTTTACATTGAATTAAATTAAATAAACATTCACAATTATTAAAAAAGCAGTATGTAGCATTAGCTGCTCTGGTCAAATCAACATTAAATGTTTAGTGCCACTGGCTTGTCAACATTTATAAGGGAATCTGCGTATTTAGCGATAATAGGATCGACTTCTTCATCCAAAAACTCGTCCACTTGTTCTGGAGCTCTACCAATGAACGTCGAAGCGTCCAATATCTTGTCCAACTGGGATATAATTGGGGCAAAATAGCCGTCTTTCTTAACGCGTTCAATCAAATCATTATCTCTACCATGTTGCTTCACTTGAGCCCCTGCTTCATGGGAGAGCACTCTAATCTTTTCGTGGCACACTTGACGGTCACCTCCCGCTTGGACCATAGCCATTATTATATTTTCCGTCGCCATGAAAGGGAGTTCTTGAGCGATATGACGCGCGATCACTTTCGGATACACCACCAGGCCTTGGCAAATATTTAATAGTGTCAGTAGAGTAGCGTCAGCGGTAAGGAAAGCCTCGGCGAGGGTAATGCGACGATTGGCAGAGTCGTCTAGGGTTCGTTCTAACCATTGGACGGCATGAGTATTAGCTGCGTTAGCGTGTAAAGTAATTAGATGACGGGCTAGAGCGCAGCAACGTTCTGAACGCATTGGGTTCCTCTTGTAAGGCATGGCACTAGAACCAATTTGGGACACTTCAAAAGGCTCCTCAAGCTCTTTACGAGAGGCGAGAATACGTATGTCTGAACACATTTTGTGTACCGTAGCCCCGAGGCCTGATAATGCGGAAATAACTTCTAAATCGACTTTTCTGGAATACGTCTGTCCGGTCACGATGTATCTCTTATCAAATCCGGCCAGTTCCGCAACTCTTTTGTCTAGTGCGCGAACCTTTTCACCGTCTCCTTTGAAGAGCTGAAGGAAGGAAGCCTGAGTGCCCGTGGTTCCCTTCACGCCCCTGAACCGGAGGTCGTCTTTAGCGCGAGATAAAGCGCGTTCATCCATTAGCAAGTCGTTGAGCCACAGCGATGCTCTTTTGCCGACCGTTGTCAATTGCGCCGGTTGAAGATGAGTGAAGCCGAGGATGGGCAAAGACCTGGAAAGAAAAATTACATTATATTTTCGATGTAATTTAATAGTACATCTGATTGGTGGTTATTGTAAATTGAGCAAATGGGCCAACCCTCATCGAAAATAGCTTGGTCAATTTTAATAGAATTAGAAATAGCTTTATCGATAATGGTATGATGGTTCAGAAAAGAAAATAAATCATGTTACGCAATGTAAGTATGTAACTAAGTATTCTGAAAGTCGTCGTGGCCTAACGGATAAGACGTCCGGTGCATACGTGTTGAGCGATACACCGGTTTTCGAAACTCAGGCGGGTACCAATTTTTCTAATGAAATAAGTACTTAACAAACGTTCACGTTCGACTTCCACGGTGAAGGAATTACATCGTGCAAAATTATAATTTGCGTAATTAGTGGCGGTAGGACCTCTTGAGAGTCCGCGCGGCTAGGTACCACCACCCTGCCTATTACTGCCGTGAAGCAGTAATGCGTTTCGGTTTGAAAGGAGGGGCATCCGTTGTAACTATATTGAGACCTCAAAACTTATATCTCAAGATGGGTGGCGCATTTACGTTGTAGATGTCTATAGGCTTTAGTAACCACTTAACACCAGGAGGGCTGTGAACTCGTCCACCCATCTAAGCAATAAAAATGTTTATAATCACGCATTAGGCACGTGCATACTCAACAAGTTACATATATCTATAGGTTTGTATTACGCAGTCGTGGATCACGGTCGAAGGCACACTATTCACGATCTATTACGATTATTACTCATTGTTCAAGCTCCTTGTTGTTGACTGTATGCAAATTGGTTACTAAATACCTAAGTGCGTTTATGTACTGGAATATAGAATTCTATAACACTTCCTTTGATTTATACAAATAATATATAATTTCTGAAGAAAATAAACAATCGGAAGAAACCAACTTTTAATTCCAACGTTGTTAATATAAATAGAATAGACAATTTCTTTTTTTTCTTTTTTTATTGCCTAGATTTTTCAACAAGCCCCCAGCCTCTTTGCTGTTAAGTGGGTCCTAGAGTTAATACCGCCGTACCGTTAGTACCGTCAGCTACCTTCATGTGAAAGGATTTTCACTTCTATTCTACTGTAATGGTTTTTTTTTTAATTGCCCTTGTAGGCAGACGAGCATACGGCCCACCTGATGGTGAGTGGTTACCGTCGCACATGGACTTCAGCAATGCCAGGGGCAGAGCCAAGCCGCTGCCTACCGCTTAATACTCTCCACAAGCCTCGTTTGAAGAAGGACATGTCATAACGCTCGGGAAACACCGTGGAGGGGAGCTCATTCCATAGCCGGATGGTACGTGGCAAAAAAGACCTCTGGAAACGCACTGTGGATGACCGCAGTGGCTCCAGGTAGTATGGATGAACTCATGTAGTATATGTCTACTAGTAGTATGGATGTCTCTTGGAACCGAAATAAATAACTGCTTCGCAACAAAAATGGCGAAAGTAGTGCTATCTTCCCGTGTGGGCTTACATTCCGCACTACCATAAGTAATTAGGAAAATTCAAATTATTGCCGTTTTTTATAATAAGATAGTATTACTTCATCGTGTAAGTCATTCGTGAAAATGTATTATGTATCTATTTCAATAGAAAAATAGATACATGCTTGTGGGATTTAAAAACCGGCACTACCGCATCGCTTAAGAAGGTGTATTAGGGCTTGAAAATGTATATGGAAATTTACTAATTTGTATGTGATATAATGTCCTTTATACGTTCTTAAACTATGCGTCTGATAGTGGCGAAACTTATTACATTTGTTGTTGAAACTTCAGGGAATGTTACCGTCATAGTACAATAGAGGTACGGCAGGTGGCGCGCGAGTAGTTTCAAGAAATCAACGTTTTCATACAACCAGCTTTATTGTCAGCGCAGCGTGAACGCGTTCCTTAGTATATTATGAAAACAAATGTATTGTTTTTCTTTGTTTGCATATCGATGCCTCCAATGAACACTACTCTAACTTAAAATTTTGAAATTTTCGTTATTCACGCAAATCGCTTCACTATTTTAAAAGTATTACAAATTCATTATTAACGGGGTTCGAAGCAAGAGTAAATCAGCTAGTTACAGCAAGAAAAAACCATAAAAATCTTTATTATTGCAGATATATTTATCAACTTTTTTCGTTTAAACTCTCCTCCTGTAAACCTACGAATTTGGAGTTAAGAGTAGTGTTCATTGGAGGCATCGATATGGTTTACTGGACTTCAAGGAAGGTTCCTCTCGTAGCACCGTCAGGAAGCGCATGAGTAATTTCAACCGAACATATTTCGCAAAATTAATACACAATAAACAAGTCTTCATTGTTTTCAGTATTTTCTTCGATTTTCGCGAATCGTTGACATAATAAGTTACAATTTTCGTGGTCACGGATTCAGAACCTACATATTACACAGGTTTAAGAAAACTATTAAAGAACATCTGTGCAATAAAGCTTACTATAAAGTCAATGATTATCTAGAAGATTGCACAAAGTGGGAATGAGTTGCTCGTTCGCAGTACTTATTGTAAAATTGAATATTTAAAAAAACGTAATATTAAAAAAAAAATTTAATATTTAAAAAAAAAAAAAAAGACATGCCCGCTGAGTTTCTTGCCAATTCTTCTCAGGACGGAGGCTATTTCTTGTGAATTGGCGGTAATTCTTTTGACGTTCAATAAGTATGTACTTTCATTTATGTTGAATAAAACTTTTTTGATTTGATTTGATTTGATTCATCCTTGACGGAAAACTTCAGAAATAATATCATAACATCAAATGACGCGAGGTTAATCCGTAAAAGTATGTAGTTTTAATTGTCTAATTACTACTGGTGGTAGGACGTCTTGTTAATCCGCGCGGGTGGGTACCACCATGCCTGCCTATTTCTGCCGTGAAGCAGTAATGCGTTTCGGCTTGAAGGGTGGCGCAGCCGTTGTACTGTTAAAAGTGAGAGCTTATAACTCATATCTCCATGTGGGTAGCCGCATTTACGTTGTAGATGTCTATGGGCTCCGGTAACCACTTAACGTCAGGTGAGCCGTGAGTTCGTCCATCCATCAAAGCAATTAAAAAAATATTACTCGCCCGTGATCATATTTTAGGTACTTACAGCTAGAGATTCTTTGACCGCATGTTGGGGATTTTTCAGAGAGGTACAAAAGCAAAAAACGATCTGTTAACAACAATTGACTAATAGCGTTTAATATCGGCCTTGGTTTAGTAGTTAACGACTCTGGTTACTGTAAAGAGGGTAATTCCCGTTCATTTCCAGTTCTGAATAAATATATTTACCAAATGTGTGTTTAGTTTCTGGTTTCTGGTACTAATGACACAGGAGAAAACCTTAGAACGAGGGATGTTGTTCATGAAAAAAATACACTTACTTGTACTGTTTCGCGAAGCTTCCAAGTTGTTTGATGACGGCGACGAGCCTTGGCAGGAGCAGCTCGAGTCCGTTCTTAAGGACTATCAAATCGGTGTTGTCTCCGACGTAGCACGAGGTGGCTCCCAGGTGTATGATGGGCGCGGCGAGGGGACACCTCTCGCCGAGCGTGTGGACATGCGCCATCACGTCGTGACGAACCCGCTTCTCATGTTCAGCAGCCGCTGGGAAGTCGATGTCATGTACAGCAGCTTCTAGTTCGGCTATTTGAGCGGCGCTTATGTCCAATCCGAGCTCCTGGAATTGAATTGTTTTTGGTATATTTTCACTGGTAGCATTGAATAATGGAAGCCCGTACGGGTACGCAGGACAAACCCGCCTATTTATGCCGCGAAACACTGATATACACTTGTTTGATAGCATATCTG